CTAACCTTTAAAGTTGTAGAATAAATCTTCTTATTTAGTCTTGAACTTTAAAAAGAAAACGCAGGCAGACCAATAGCATTTAGCAGATTAAAAAGAAGAGGAATAGTTTAGGAAATAAGTAAAAGTAGAGGTATGTGACAATTAATAGCTTTTAAACTTTTGGAGGTATTGTATTCCCCTGAGTTTGTTGTACTCGATTACTATATTATTCTCTCAATCTCTTATATTGGGGGTGACGCCGGCGTAGTGGTTAATATCCATACCTCTCACGCCAAAGTCACGAGTTCAAATCTCACCCCCGGACAAGTCACGAATGACCCAAGAGTGTTAAAGTGACTATAATGAAAAAAAAAAAAAAAAAAATCAATCTCTTATATATGCGGTTAAAGAATTTGAGGTATGGAGGCGAACCAGCCCAAGGCTGAAAGCCTCATTAATAAAGTTAAATAATAATAATAATAATTTGAGGTAACTTATTTCTTAGTGTTCAAATACTTACATTTTTAAACAGCAGTCAATGTTAATCTATGAACTAAACCATACGTAAAATCGATCTTTCCTTATGTGGTATTGATGCATGTTTAACTTTTCGCGGCTGTCGGAATCAACGCTCCTGCGTCTACGGAGCTTACGCAGAAGTGATACGCAATTCGGTAGAACTTGTCAAACGCTTTTGAGCTTCTGTAGTATAGAATTTGTTCGGTACTTTCGCGAAATCTTGAAATGATTGACACGTGCGGTAAAATAACTAAATTGAAACAAAGCTCAACAGTAAAATAAGTAGAATATTTAGAGAGGAAACCAAAATTAATCAACTTGCCAACATAGGCTATCACATTTATTTTGCTAGCACTCTTTGAATGATAATAAGCCTTTTTTCTCGCTTTGGTTGTCTCGCACGGCTTTCGGAATTCACGCGGTTTTCGTAACTTAAATAATTTAGATATTTCGTTCGAAACGGATTTACTTATTCAATCGGTTTGCTACGCGGATGTATCTACGCGCACACGTCACAGCATTTTTTCTATAACTATCATGAAACAATACATACGGAATCCAGTGTTCAAGCGGCCAACATAGGCTAGTCCTTCTGTTGTATTGTCAAAGATAGAAGTAAAATTTATTCAAATGGGTCAAGTCTTGAAAATTAAGCTGTCACGCAGCTCCAGCTTGATACCCAATAAAAAAAAATGGTGAAACATTAAATTTTATTGTTGGAAATGCTATCTGACTAAAGCTTTAGTGTGACAATTGATTAGCTAGAAAATGGTCTTAGAAGAGTGGAGGTAGATAGTTCCGTTACAGTACGGCAGTATGAAAATTGAATAGAAGTTGAAAATGAGCGAAGGGCCATTAATGCGATAGTGCAATTCAAACGCACACTTGCCTAACCAGTACGATGTACGAGGGAATTTGAAGTATGTCTTCAAATCTACAGGCAAAAAAGTGTGTACTTGACTTGCTCATATACTGTCTGCGGCTGTGAAATAGTTCTAGCGACGTTCCAGCACTACCTAAAGCCCCACGTTGCCGAAAGCATTTCCGGTCGATGGTGTGTTATAATGCAATTCTTCTTTACCCAACTATTGTGTTGCTCCTCTCGTCATGGCCTACTTAGTCATCTCCGAGAGAAAGCAGTAGGGTGGTTGTTTTGTCCTGTACCATCACAAGCATTGTTGACGGCTACTACCGCCTTGAGCTGTTACATTCAAAGTGTTTTATGTTACTTCATACGCGAGGTTTATGATTTTCAGAGTTGGTTGGAAATGCTATGTTAGGTAAAAAATCAAGATTTAAGTCCCAAATTTAACTTTAACTCTAATCGAAAGGAACGAACTTCAAACTTGTATGATTCTACCCCGAAACTAGATACTATTTGAATTTATTTCTGCAAAAGCTTATTGGGCTATTTTAATTTTTTTTATTTGAAATGTAGTTAGTTTTGGTTGAACCCATTCGGTACCAATTTATTGTTTACTCGTATTTTATACGGATAAAAGCTTTTTGCGTGTTTTTATTTTCATTTTATTTTATATTCTAGAACATTTACACTATCCTGGAGTGATAATTCGTGACAAAATAGTAAACTAGTGGTCCCTATAGAAAATTTCCAAAATGCCCATAAAATCTAGATTCATCATTCCAGATTCCGTCAGTTTCTATTAGCTGGATTACTTTTCAATTCTTTCTGATCAACCTGCAGTCTTGAAAGAATATATGAGAGACTTCATTTGTATTTTCTAACAGTTGGAGATCTTCAGAACTTGATCAACTAGAAGTCTTGAAAAAATATCCAAAGAACTTTACTAATATCTTCGTCTATCTGGAGATCTTTTGAATATAACCTGTTGTTTTGGAACGATGTCTGAAATAATATCCTGTAACCTAACCTATTCAGCATTTCCTCAACACTCCCTTAAGTTTTGCAAATTGATCCAAAAGATCCATGAATTTATTCCACATTTCATTTTTTTTTTTCATCTCTATTAATTCTTCGATTCCTTCTGGAAAGACCCCAATCATCTGCAAATATTCATGAACATCTGAAAAGTTCTTTGAAATTGAGCGAAGTTCTCAAACTTACTGAAGTAAGATCTCTGACAAACTGCAGTTTCCTAAACTGAAGCGAGGATCCTTGAATATCTCAAAAGTTTGCTGAACAATTTTTAGATCTTCTACAAAATTCCCTGCACTTATATGAAGTTTTATGCAGCACTTCTACGTTCGTCGTTGATTTTCAGCGAAGTTCCACGTATGGAATTTCTCGAACTTGTACGTAATTCCCTGAACTAAAGATTGTACTCGAAAAAATGCAACACTTTCTGTTGTGTATAACTTTGTATTACATGGGTAAACATTTATTAAATGTTGAGCAAAACTAGTTAAGAGTTTAATATTTACATGTGCAAAATTCGTCACAATCTGTCAAGTGGATGCCATATATACAGATTTCTGTACACTAAAAAAGTGGTCGCCCTTTTTTAATTGTATCCAAAAAATATCAAATGAAGTATTTCCTGAAGCTAGAATTAATGCAATAACTAGTTAATATTTGTAACTATTTTTATATCTAATGAGATTAGAAAAATCGTTATTATAATTAAAGTTACAAGGGCTCAAAAAGATAGTGTCCACCTTTATCGTGTACAAAAGTTTGTATATCTGTCATCGTTGTTATCTAGATGGCTTCCAAGCAAGAACTGCTTCGGCAAAAAATTATGGGAGCGGTCGTGGAAAATCCAGGTGGATCGCGAAACAGTTTGAAATTGACAATTCAACCGTGTCCCGTGTGGTAAAATCGTTCAAGGAGACCCAGACGCAGCGGCGAGCTGGCAGCGGAAGAAAAGCGAAGACGACTGACTCCGTGAACGTAAGGAAAGTGAGGGATTACTTCGATTCGGGACGTGGCCAAGAAGGTTAATTATTCCGTCTGGTTCGTCCGGCAGACAATGAAACGGGCCGGACTTCATGTCTTCAATGTGGCCAAATCCCGCGCCAGCGCGTAATGTTAGTACAGCCGAAATGCATCGTAATGGACTACGAGACGTACATTAAAGCGGACGCCAAGCAGATCCCCGTCCTCGTGTTTTTCGTCGGCAAGTCCCGCCTGGATGTTGCGGAGAAGTTCCGGAAGAAGAAGGTCGACAAATTTGCCAAGAAGTACTTAGTGTGGCAGGCGATCTGTGGGTGCGGCAAATTCAGCAAACCGTACATAACGATCGGCACCATCAACGGCCAAATGTATAAAGAAGAATGCCTCCAGAAGCGCCTGCTTTCCTTCCTCCGGTCCCACGAAGGTGACACTCTGTTTTGTCCAGATCTGGCATCGTGCCATTACGCGAAACCGGTGATGGAGTGGTACGAAGCCGAAGGAGGCAAATCCGCCAAACTCGCCAGAACTTCGCCCAATAGAAAAATTCTATGCGATTATGAAGAGCAAGCTCCGGAAAACAGGGTAGGTCTTCAAAAACGACAAAGATTTAAAGAAAAAGTGAATGGAAGTGTGTAAGAGAGATGGCGCAAGTATTGCACAGGATTTGGTGAGTAGCGTTAAGTCATTGCATTTTTTTTTTCGAGCACAGTCTTTATATTGCTTTTCGACTTTTTGTCCTTTTGGCTTTTGTCCTACAACCGGCCCTACACCTTTTAAAATATGTTCAAAATTTCAGAAGACAAATTATCTTAGTAACGTCAATGTTTATAAACTTGCTCGGTCTTGGCTTAATATTTCGGTTAATTGAAAGCAAATTAAAACCTCAAAGTGTTTCAACAAGATATTTTGTTCCCTTATTTCCACCTGCGACGGTGTATTTTTCTGCGTGCAAACATATCTAAGTGCGGCGTGGTCAAGTTACCTACATACAAGCCATGATGCAACAATCAAAAATGCAAATAATGTTCGGCGCTACCAGACGGCAAACCTGAAGCAGGCTCGTCAATCTTATCGATTTCTTCCTAACAGACGTTGTCGAGTCAACCCTCATCGCACAAAAAACGGCTCATTTTGCAACTCATCATTTTTATCGATCATTACCAAACTGTGCGAGGCATAAAGTTCAATTTTCTTATTATTTATTTTATTTAGTTCTTGAATTTTCTTTCGGTAGGGTACACATTGTTCGTAAGACGAAGAAACCCCATTTATTCTTGTTCTAATCTTAAACAGGAGATTCGCAATTATCTATCATTTGCTGGTATCTAGGAACTGGTTTTTCGAAAGGATGTGGGATCATCAACTTTGTTTAACGATCCACCATGTACCTACCTATCGCAATAATGTGATCCTCGCACTTAGAAGCATACGGGCAATTAACCCCACGGCATGCAGAAGCTCAAGCGTGTGGTCGGTCACGGTTTGCTAAACCCTGATGTCTTTATTTCGTGTCTCGTCGACGCTCGCAACATACCACCAACTAACTGCGCGGGAGATCGCGAAACATTTCAATTAGTAAATTACCCACCTCATCATCTGGTGTCCGTTTTATTTGTCTAATTCGCAGCAGAACAACAGCAGAATAGAAGATGATCTTACGACGAGCAACGACGCACGTTGTCATGCTGCTGCTACAACTACTGATGGCCTCTGGGGCCACCGACGCCCAGCAGTACGGCAAACAGCTGCGATGGGTGACGCAGTGGAAGTCGTTGGATTTTGTGTTCCCCACGCCGAAAGACCGCGAGAATGCCATCTCTTCCAGACGATTTATTCCCGAGAACTGCATTCCCCTGGATATGGATGTCGATTACAATAGTAGTAAGATCTTATTTGTGGGTGGGATAGTTTGATCTGCCTCAGACTAAGCATTGCTCGCTATCTCTGTAGATTCACTGCGATCCCGAGTTTTTGTCACCATACCACGTTTCATCGAAGGGATTCCTGCTACCTTGGGAACGATTTCCCCACAAATGGGACCATCGGGACCGCTGATAGAACCCTACCCGAATGCAGCAATTCAATCGACCCCAGATGATGGACGATGCACTGGGATCGTGTCAGTGTTCAGAACCATGGTAAGTCACCGATAATTCGTATCAAACTGGTTTCGAATGACCCATTTACAAACTTCAGATCGATGAATGCAGCCGCCTCTGGATCGTAGACACGGGAAAAATCGGCGATCGAAGAATCTGTCTACCGAAGATCGTCGCCATCGACCTACGGACCGATCAGATCATCCATCAGTATCAGATTCCCGCCAGTCAACTGGTGTGTGACGTTTCGCTACTTGTCAGTATTGTGAGTATGCCTCAATATATTGAATCAAGCTTAGAATTCTAAAACCCGCTTCTTTTCCAGCTTGTTGACGTACGCGACCCACCACCGACGGGAACTTGCTCCAATACCATGATCTACGTTGCGGACGTAACCGCTTTCGGGCTAATAGTATACGACATGGCTCGCGGAAAGTCCTGGCGCGTAACCAACAAGCTCATGAATCCCAACCCGGACCATGGGACGTTCAGAATAGCTGACGATTCTTTTGATCTAATGGATGGCATGCTCACTATGGCCCTCAGCCCGAAACCTCCAGCAGATTTCACGTTCAACTCCGCTTACGCCACCTCGAACAAACGTCCGGTTGTGCTGAGCGATCGTCTCATGTTCTTCCACGCTCTGGCCTCAGTTTCCGAAAGTGCCGTTCGTACGTCCGTTCTGCACAACGATACCCTATGGTCGGAGGATGTCGGTGCGATGCCGAGCGCCTTCCGCGTGATCGGTCGCAGAACCTCTCAGAGTGCACCGGAAGCGATGGATAGCAACGGGAATCTGTACTTCGGTCTGCTGACCCAGATGGCGATCGCGTGTTGGGACTCGACTACCAACTACAACCCGGGCAACTTCAAAATTGTTTCGCAAAACCAGCAGACGCTGCAGTTCCCCAGCGGTATCAAGGTCATTCGCAATCGGAAGGGAATCGAAGAGCTGTGGGTGATGAGCTGTCGGTTCCAGAAAATCATGACCGGTACATTGAACATGAACGAAACGAACTTCCGCATCCAGGCGATACAGATTCCGGAGCTGCTGGACGGAAACCGAACTTGTAGGCCTGGTAGATATTAGAACATTAGAGCCGAGGAGGGTGTGAGGGCCTGCGGGTGCGATAGTTGGTAAGATGGAATTATGTGTGTTTCGAGTCGATATAATTATAAGTAGAATTAGTAATGAGAAGCTGAAATTGTGGCTTTAATCATCCGAAATCCTTACTTACTTACTTACTTATGGGCTGTTCATAAACTACGCAATCATCCACGGCCCATACAAATTTAAAAAAAAAAATGTATTGACAATTGTCTACGCAGGGGTCAAGAATCCCAAAAAACTGTCTAGGTAGTTAATGAAAAGCCCCTTACATACTGACTTACTTACTTACTTAACGGACACGGAATCAGCGCATTTCTTCCATTTTGCCCGCATTTGCTGGATGTCGTTGACTGCCGCGCCGCTTCGTCGAAGTCGCTGCTTTGAAATTGCCCAGTATTTTTCGATTGGTCGAAATTCCGGGCAATCCGGAGGATTTATTAGCTTGGGTATAAAATCGATCTTGCTGGCAGCATACCACTCCCAGAACCGCCTTGAAGTAGTGACAGCTGGCCAAATCGGGCCAAAAGATGACCTTGCTCCTATGCTTGCGGATGAACGGCAACACACACTTTTTCAGCCATTCTTCGATGTAAACTTGGGATGTCGTCGTCGAGGATGTGCCGAATGGTTCCGTTTTCAGTCCACAACTGCAAATCGCTTAGCAAATCATGGCCTTCTTCGCGAACTTGTCGGCAAACACGAACTTGAATCTTCCCGGCACATCACCACGTCCAGTCGCGATATAAAACTTTTCACTGGGAAGGTGCTTAAAATCGAGTTTGACGTATGTTTTGTCATCGATCAAATTGTAGCCCTTATGTTTCGTCAAAACACGGTCGTACAAGAGGCTTGCACGCTTTTTGACCACGGAATTCTGCTTAATGTGGATGGATGTTTACTGGCTTTGTACGACTTGTATCCTTCCCTGGCAATGGTGTTCCGCACCGTTTTAAAGTGGGCGTTGTACCTTCTGGCCACATCTCGGATCAAAAGACCGGGGTTGGCTTTAACGCACCTCAACACCTTGCTGCGCAACGGACGATCCCTGGTTCCAGTTTGTTCGTAGTTCCGTTGATTCCTTTCCACACTTTGGGTTTCCTTGTAGGTTTTGAGCACTCGACAAGCTGTTGTTTTCGGCATCTTCAGCACTTTAGCCAGCTTGGAACCGGACCACTCCGGATTTTCCAGGTGTTTGTGCACAATATTTTTTATTCTTTCGAGTTCCATTTGACGTTATTTATGAACGCGATCGACTACTTTGATAAAACTTGCACCAGTTGTTCTCTATAGAAGTGTAAACAAACCACTGTCAAAGATTTTCGATTCCAAATACTAGATGCGTGCTAGCGGCGGGCGAGGGGCGTACCAATTTACTTTTAGTCAGCCCACTGAAGATATGATCCTTCTATCTTTAAGTACAACCAAATGATGAGATCAGATTTTGTTGGCAATAGTGAAGAAAAATAACGATCACCAAATTTGATTGTATCGTAAGTGGGAAACCTAGGGGCGTCTCACTTTTAAAATGCTTATTGACGATGTATTTAATTAAAAAAAATGCATTTAATTTCCATCGTTTACATCAACCATTCAGTGGGATTTGAACGTCAAAACAAAGCAAGATATACAAACAAAACATGAAGAGAAAAATCGTCTAACCACACCTAGCTCCACACGATTTCGGTGGACTAGAGAATTTATATACTGCGCTGCCAAGGGAGTTTCGACGGTGTTTCCACGCATTGTCGTCGGAGGAGCTTCGGCCAGTGAAGAGTTTGGATGCTGCAAACGTGATTTTCTCTCATTCTTGGTGGAGGAGGTTCTGCATGAATTCTTTTGGAGACGGTTCTAGATGTTGCAAACGCAGGTTCTAGGAAAGTTTTTCTTGTTCGTCGTTTGACTAAATTACGTTATTTACGAATTACGTTTGACTAAATAAATAACAATAACAATTACATACAGTATCCCTAATAAAAATGTTATGGTTAATTTGCTTAACGACGTGTTTGGGCTATCATCCAAACCATTTGCGGAATAGTTCAATCATTTGGGTTATCGTTCGTTTGTGGTATTTTTTTTTTTTTATTAGAGATGACCAATTAAAAAAAATGCGAAAATACAAAATTTCTATGGCATTCTCTTGCGTTCATGGCGGACGAGGTTCCACAACGATTTCGGTGACGATTTCTGATGCTTCCAGCGGAGATTTCAAATATTTTCGACGGATTTTTCTCAGCGGAGGAGGATCTGCACGATTTCGGTGGAGAGTTTTTCTGGTGTGCACGGTCGAGAAGTATGATTTCGGTGGATATTGTCGGTGCTACCATCGGATGTTTCAGGAAATTTCTAAGTCATTTCCTCGTGTTTTCGGTGAAGGAGCGTCCACAAGATTCTGGTGGAGATTTGCTATGCTGCCAACGAAGGTTCAACGGAATTTTGACGAGGTTTTCTCGCAGGCTTAGCACGATTTCGGATGAGGTTTTCGATGTTGACACTGGAACTTCCGGAGGCAGCTTCTGCACGATTTCGTTTGAGAATACCATAGCATGATTTCGGTGGATATTTTGTATGTTACGGATGTTCCGGGGAGATTCGACAGTGTTTTCAAATGTTCACGTCGGATTTCGATGGAGATTTTCGGTGCTGCCAACGGAGGTTCCAGTGTGTTTCATCAGAGTTTATTGCGTTCGATGCTCCCATCGGTTACAGATAATTTCGACGGATTTTTTCCGCATTCTCGGTCGAGAAGCTTCAGGAAAAAAATTCTCGAGTCAAGAGTGTGGATTTGAGCGAACCGATGTGGAAAACAAAATGTTTTGGTAGGAACTGTCACTTAGAGCATCGCGCTACAAAAAAATGCATTTATTTTTTTTGTTTCTGGTCAAAATGAATTTATTTATTTTTTTGTTATAATAAATGTACCACAAGTGATCTGCCTCTAGGGGGAAACAAATTTTTGTGTTACCTTCCTCACAACATTCACAAGACTTCCCCTACTATTCTAGTCATCATTTTCTGTTTATTCATTTGCATCAATAATTAATTTTTCAATTTTGGCTCAATGTCACCTCGTCTTACGGTACGTTTAAAATGCTTCACAAGGGGTGCCCAATCTCGTTTTTGTGTGTATGTGTGTATTCCCTCTAACCCCCACTATTATGGAAGAACTCTCTCTACAATGTCGCATTTATGGTCATAGTAGGCAGCTTTAGTCCGGGAGTTAGAAGGTGATAGCTTTATTGCAGATCCAGCGACCTATTTCAGAATGTCTGGAGAGTCACGCCCATTCCGAGGTTACTTTCACTTACAACAAGCCCCGCATGTAAACACTACCGCTATCATATGGATAATGGTACTGCAAACACACTTCCAGATTTTGAAACGAGAAGTTTACCAAACTGGCACGTATTTAGTAGTAGGTATATGGAAATAGATAAAATTGATTTATAATCAGATTGATCTCACCAAACTCTGCCTCCGCAATGCCACCAGGTGCCCGCGGTGATCTAAGCAGCTATCGTAAACATTTTTTTCCGGCCACCATGCACTGATATCCGGAAGGTTCACTGTTCGTTTTTCTCTGCATTATTCTCCTTCTTCAATCCCACCTTGTTCTCCAGGAAATCTCTCACCAAAGACATGTTTTTATTCTTTCTCTTTGTCTCCCCTAACCTTTCACCGTTCAATTAGTAGCACATCTCCATCCGGCCAGATCTGCGAGTCTTAATCGGAAACGCTGTCTATTCTCGCGAAATCCCAATAAATCACACTATGACTTAAACGACCAATTGGTGCACTCCCGAATCACAAACAATAACGACAAATTCTCGAAAAGGGGTACCCAATGTCGTTTGTATCTTTATTGATTACAGAGAAACGTAAAAATGACAATTTGTGTCTATTAAAAATCGACAAAAAGGGGGGCAGTTCCCTGAGCCGAGGAGTTGGCCGATTGGCCCAAAACTTTAGTTTTTTTTTTAATTTTGGCCTGAAATAAGTAGACTCACCAATGTTGGTTCAAATCGGAGAGGGTCGATGCATTTGCTCGGTCACTTGAGATGGAATGACTCATATAGCAATTTGTAAAAGTGGAAATAGTACGCTTTTGAAGCATTTATGGTCCAAAAAAGTGAACGACAACCTAAAGAAATCATTAGTGTTCTTTGTTGTTCAGTTTATTTTTCCGGGAATTATTGTTAAACAAGCTACAATTGAATAAAAACGTGTTTTCCCATGCATTCTTTACCCGCTTTCCTACCAGTCTCCAGAGAGCCAAAAAAATCATATTTCAGAGAGAAAATTCTCTCTCACGAGCTCAATCTCTTAACATGATGAAACACGATTTATGATTTCTCTCTCACAGACTTCAGAATAGAGTATCTGGCACTGAAAAAGCTGGGGATTTTTTTTTAAATTACCGAACAGGTCTTCGATTTCTACGAATCTTCGCCCATAGGTAGAGTTCATAGGTATTTTAAAAAGTAAATTTAAAAAAAATCAGGGTTGCCAATTTTTCAGGAAAATCTTTGTTAAAGTTTTCCGATTTTCTCGGACACCATTAACTTCAAAAAATCATAACTTTTGAACCAAGCATTACACAGTCAAAGTTAATTAGCAAAAATTACTTGAAATTTGGTCAGCTATTGATAAAAAAAAATACAGTTTGATACAATATTCTCATGAAAATTTTCGCCATTAGAAAAAATTCAAAATAAAAGCTGTGGAAATTATCGTCTGTATCATGGATTTTTATTTAAAAAAAATCATTGGCTTTTTGTCGGTGAACACTTCAAGATGGTATCTATCTAAAATCAAATTAAATTGTATTAAAATCAAGGGGTCGGCCGAGTTGAAACGTCTAAGTCAAACGATCTGGTCGACATTATGAAACAGATCGTTCGGGTGATCGTCGCCACACCGTTAAAACCCGTTTTTAGGTATAGATATAGATATTACCTGATTTGAATAAAGAGAGTTGCTAAAGCTCGTTGAAGTATCAGTCCCAACAGTTACTGACTGTTATATAGGAATTCATCATCAAATTT